TATAATCATTAAATTATTGTTTAATCTACGTTGTATTGGATAATATGTGCAAGAAATGAGCAATTTGACCCTGTTGTGCTTTTTTATAGAAGGGTGTCGTTTAACTAGATTATCCAGTGAGTAAAACATAACTGGTAAGAAATTGGCATTGTGTTCATTTAGAACAGGGCTGCCCAAACTCGGTCCTGGAAGGCCGGTGTCCTGCAGAGTTTAGCTCCAACTTGCCTCAACACACCTGCCTTTAACTTTCTAGTATGCGTTTGAAAGTTTCTATATGTGACCCTGGACCACAAAACCAGTCTTAAGTAGCACGGGTATATTTGTAGCGATATCCAAAAATACATTGTATGGGTTAAAATTATTGATTATGCCAAAAATCATTAGGATATTAGCCTAAGTAAAGATCATGTTCCATGAAGATATTTTGTAAATTTCCTACCGTAAATATATCAATATTTTTTATTAGTAATATGCATCGCTAAGAACTTCATTTGGACAACTTTAAAGGTGATTTTCTCAATATTTAGATTTTTTTTGCACCCTCAGATTCTAGATTTTCAAATAGTTGTATCTCAGCCAACTATTGTCCTATCCTAACAAACCATACATCAATGAAAAGCTTATTCATGATGTATAAATCTCAGTTTCAAAACATTGACCCTTATGACTGGTTTTGTGGACCAGGGTCACATATATGATGTTCCATAATGCTGTGTGTGGTTTGACGGTTAGTGGAAAGATGAAAAATGGCATCTGACAGAGCAGTCGGAATGACTAAATAGAATATTTTTATTAATAATTTTGAATTTATGAAAAAATTTATACCCAGAAATAAGCATTGTAGTAATTAATAAATATTTTCTTAGTTAACTCTAAAACTCCTCTGACTGACTGGATAGCGAGGTAGTTGCTCGGTACGATACTGTCTGTCAAAACTCAGATGTTTAAAGCCATGTTATAAAACATTTAAAACATTAAATAAAACGAAGTAAAAGTTAATATATA